AAGGTTTTGTCATCATCAATTACCCAAACAAAAACCTTGTCGAAATGTTGCTGTTATGTTAAACTTATATTAAAGTTTTTCTTCATTACCCATTCAAGCCGTCTCCAACCATTATAAATCATACATTTGGATTATACTTCAGAAGACAGAAATACACTACCTACAAAATCTTAATTCATCCGTTGGGCAATTAAAGCATTCAAAGAGCCTTATATTATCTTGAATGTTTTTAAAATAATTTGGTCATTAGTTTTCACTATTCTGTGAGATGAGGTACTTCATCTATGTGTCTGATGTATATTGTTGTAAGCTATGTTTTTTAAGTCTAGAGGTTTCTAGTGATTTGTATAATTGATTGACCATAGGGAGGTTTGACACAGTGAATGGTTGTGTTTAAGGCCTGGAGTTTTAGAACAATTTCAGCAATACAAAAAAAAAAAAAAAGTGTAAGTTAGGTTTGAGTAGTGATTACTAAACCCATTAGTGCGTTAAATATAATCTGAAATTGTGAGATATTATCTGATTGAGATTTTAGTCAATTTAGTGGTGTGATTATTGAGTTTGTCTTTCAATGAAAGATAAGAGATGTGAAAGAATTATCAAGTAAGTGAAATTGTTGTATTAGCATCTACTGTGAACTTACAGTTATCAGCAAATGTCAATTAGAATAACTTGTATTTTGTAATTGAAAAAATAAAATGCTTTTGTTGTCATTAAATGGAATGGACTGCACATTCTTGTTTTTACTAAAAAATCCAAAGGAACCTGTACAACATTAGGAACCATTACAACTATATGAAAAATATGAGGTTGTTAGATTTGTGGACCATTACTAGTGTTTTTCATGCATGTTAACTTTAGAACAGTGTATGAAATGATAGATTATTTGCCAACAGCATTGTAAAATTCTCATTGCTATGGTTCATAATTTTGCCACTTACCTTTCTCATAAAAACCAGGTGTGAAATTTTAGGTTCCAAGCTTATATTCAACAGTACAAGGCTGTTGTACACAAAAAAATCAGGTGTGTTGCAACAGTCCATGTACTCAAAATATGTTTGTAAACTGACATCAGTCTGACTGAGGCTCTGGCAAGTTGGAGAGCAGGGTGATATGTGAAAAATAAGTATATTTTTGTCTATCATACAGTTTGCATAAGGCATTTATATAACCTCTAAAGCCTCCAAAATGCATACCTACAATTCATTTTTTCATTATCCCTGTATATTGTACCTGGTATTTACCTTTTTCTACTGTGAACTGTTGCTAAATCAGCAATGTGTGAAACAATGAGTAGTTGATAACTCTAACATCAAATACATAACAACACCATGTTGAATGTCACTTTGCAAAACATCATGGTATGTGCACTTTGATTTCCATTCTATGAAAAAAAAAAAAAACAGTTCTAAAGACCTCTTCTCTGAAAAGCAAAGTTTGCCATCATTTAATAGATTGGATTTTCTATTTTGTCTTGTAATAACTAGTAATTGGTAAAAGTTATATAGCATTTCTAATTATAAAGTTCCATATAATGCAGATATAAATGAACCAATGTTGACATTCTGTTGACATGCTTCATATCTGGCAGCAGGATAAATGCTGAGTACATTGGAATGGGTGGCAACTTCCTGTTG